GGGGGGCTCATTTCAACATAACAGCCCATGCAGCAACTGTCCAAACTCACCGAGTTGTAGTACATGCCGCTAATTTTGTTGACCCCGTTACCTGTGTGCATACGCAAGAGGAGGAATCGGCTTGGTCAAGGTTGAAGTACAAGGTTAAAATGAGGAAAGGTGTCAGTAACTATAATTTGCAATCTTTCCTCAACAAGCATATGTGGCGAGACTGGAGAGGGGAGGCTGACGCTTTTAATAATATTATTGAAGTTCTTATGCGATATTTTACGAGCAACCCAGTTTAAGGAGGATATACATCGTTACGTTTATTTTTGCACCGGATTTTTAACTATTATGAACTATTTTTTAAAGAAAAACAACAGCTTTAAACTGGCTTAAGTCGTGAAAAAGGTAATAGTACAATTTTTCAATCTCCTTGTCTAATGCGCAGATGACACTTAGCTAAAACACAGATCATGCGCGGTATTTAATATTGCGACAATCTGCATGCGCTTTTAACTTTCGGCATGAACTGATTTTGAAGATAATTTAGCCGCAACGCGATGATGTAGTAACGAGTCGTTTCATAAATTAAAGGTCTTTGAAGAATACCTCTTGTACTTTTCTCTCTATTTCCCAAGTAATCGCTCGGAACATTCATCATCAAATACTGTTGGCTGCATTCTTCGTTTTCTACGCTCTATTTTCTACTTCTCTTTGTGTTATCAAAAGATACTACGATAAGAAAATCAAGTGAAATATTGATTGAAATTTCGTACAATCATGTTCTGTACGCAGACATCATCGGTCGACGATTTAATCGTCAACGTTTGGCTCGCATCGTAAACGATCTGATCAACAATGCTTGAAAAGCAGAAATCGAGCATGTTGTTAGACAACGGGCACGATGTTACGAAAGATCGTTGGCATTGAGCTCACTGCACGTTGAAATCGAATAAAGGAGGACGTTCTTTTTAACGTCCTCGTTATACTCGATCTTGTGTATAACGAGCTCGTTCTTTTAAACGTCCTCGTTATACTCGATTTCTTGTATCGTGCCCAGATGGCAGCATTGATCCGGACTTGTATTTAAGAAAAGGTCAGGTGGGGCTTATGCACAGGATTTCGTCATTCGTGTCATAGTTTATGGCATCTTAGGACATCGTAACGATGTTCTACTTAGTGTGTGGGATAAAAAGTTTGAAATAACTAATGGCAATCTGAATAGATATTTGGTCTGATGGAAGGACTGCAATTGCTACTGATCTCATTATGGCTAATAGTTAAATACTCCATTTAGCCACACTAATTGATGCCAATGATGCACTAAATAAACCATATGTGGACACACCAACAAACAATTTATTGCAAACTGATTGAACAAAACCAATGTGCGCTGATTTTAATGTGTCCAATAAAAAAATCAATTTAGTTACCGCCAACAGATATTAATGATACTGCAAATAAATCATATGTGGATGGTGTTAAACAGGCAGCAACATTGGGTTCGTACCTGTATACTTGTTTAATTATAAAATGGGTTATGATAATAAAAATGAAACCAAATTCTGATAGTCAAGATCAAAATATGCAGTTTCCAATTATTTACATTTCATATTATACAGTGAGAAATTAACGTTTGATGTGGTTGGAACATATGAATTTCATTGAAGATATGGTTGCAAGGTGCCTACAACACATTTCTACTACAAAGCAAATGATACTTCTGGATCCATTAGTAAGCGATACAATGTAATTACACAAAACACACATAATAAATAGATAGATATTACATTTTTTGGAATATTTGGAACATTTACCGGTCATTCCATATCACTCGGTGTAGATAATGACACTCTCAATGCTCAGCTTTATGCAAAATTGATGATGAGAAAAAATCTGACTAATATAAAAATTTTATATGTGAGCTTCAAAAAGAGACTTCAACTTCAATCATACAGATAACTCACTGGACAAAAACGCAATAAATGAAGTTACATCATCATACAAATACTATCACAAGCAGCTTCGATTGTTACAAAAAGCCTAGGGGTCCAAGAAACTAACTCTGTTTTGCAATTTGTCATCGTCTTCTTTAATTGTAAGTGGTACTATAGCTGGAAAGGTAACAACGAGTCCCATCCTACTTGGCATTATACTTGGTAGTGGTGTGACATAATTAAAAAACGTACTGAGACATTAAAGATTTCAAGATCGAATTATGTTGATTTGCTTTTACCATCTATATGAACACACTCACTGATTCAAGGTCTTTTTTAAGTGGAGTGTCATTTGATAACGAGAATTATTTGGACCAATTGAAAACTGTAGATAATACTATCATAGATATGTGTTCAATAGTTGATGTTTTCGAGCAACAGTACAAGTAGTTTACTTGTGATGAATTATTTATTGAGTATTTTGTTGTAGTCATTCCTAATTCGTTTCAATGACAATTTAAAGTACTCCAACCAGTTGAGAAAGATTGCGCAGTTTTTGTCTCAGTTGACCTTTGACTGTTAAACGAGTTAAACCATTTCAGCTGGATTGTCCAGATTGTGCAGTTAAACGGATTAAGCTAGTATTGTGTATTTTGCTATCTTTGCAGGTTCAACTATCTTACTAGTTAGTAAGACTATCGAAACTGCTAAAGTCGATAAATTTCACTATCTTTCTCAACTGGTTGAACTAGTTCAAATGGTCAGATTAGCTTCAATTGTTGCAGAGGACAAAATGCATAACCAGCTTGATAGGTTGAACTGTACAAACGTCTCAGTTTAGTTGAACTAGTTAAAGTGATTAAATAATTAAACTAGCGAAAACAGTAAGAATGCACAAATTGCACTATCTAACTCAAATGGTCGATGAAGTTCAAATGCTCAAAGTACGTTAATTGGTTAAACCACAAAAAATGCATAACTTACTTGATAGGATCAACTGTACCAACTGTACGATCAAGCCCTCATTGGATATACTCGTTAAATAGTCAAACTAGCTGAGACAGTTAAACTGCATAAATTGCACAGTCTATTTTAATTGGTTAAAGTTGTTCGAATGGCTGAACTAGGTTCAATGGTTTAACTGGACAAAATGCATTACGGGCTTAAATAGTTGAACTGGTTGAAAAGTCAAACTAGGGAAGACAGCCAAACTGCTTGAAGTAGTGCAATGGTCGAACTGCCTTCAATTCTTGAAGTGCACAAACGGCAAAATGTAGCCAAATTTGTTTAAGAAGTTAAATGATCAAAGTAGCTTAATTAGTTAAACCAAGTAAATAGTCCAACCGGCGAAGACAGTTATATGCACAAATCGGCGTTACTGCACAAACTGCACAATCTAGCTGAAATGGTTTCACTGGTCAAATAGGCAAACTAGGAAAAGCAGTCAAACAAATTGCACAATCTATCTTGATTGGTTAAAAAAATTCGATATTCCATCTGACTTAAACGGGTCAACATGAGAAATTTCAGAACTAGGTGATTTGATTAAACTGGACAAAACCAATTAGTAACCTTAATGGTTTGTCTGGCTAAATGTCAATCGAGCGATTACAGTTTGACCATTTTAAACTACTTCAACCAGTAAAGATGCATTGTGCTATTTGTGAAGTTGAAATGTTTTTGCTAGTACCACTACTTAATCATATGAACCAATCTATCTAGTTTTATTATCTTAACTAGTTAAACCAATTAAACCTGAGCAAAACTGCACAAATTGCAAAATCTATCTTAATTGGTGGAAGTGGTTCACATAGTCAAACTAGCTTAAATGGTTTAACTAAAAAGATGTAACTATGATATGCACTTTGTCCGGTTCAACTGTTTTCAACTGAACAAAGTGCATGACTAGCCTAATCCATTCAACTGCACAATTTGAACAATTTAGCTAAAATACGGTCCAACAGTCGAACGAAGGTCAACTGAGAAAAATTGTACAATCTATCTTTACTGGTTAAAGTTCTTTAAATGGTCAAATTAACGTCAAGCAATAAACGGCACAAACTGCAGAATCTAGCTGAATTGCTTGAAGGAGTTAAAATGCTCAAATTAGTTTGACTGTTAAAACCAATTAAACTAATGAAGCTCTGCAACCCAGTAAGCCTCTTTGACTATTTCACTATCTGAACTAAGGTAAGTTGTCCAGTTAAACCATTTAAGCTAGGCGTGCATTTTGTCCAGTTAAATATTTTCAGCGACTTTGATAATAGTGACGACTTAAACCATTCGATATAGATTGTGCAATATCTGCAGTATCACTGCTTTCGTCAGTTTGATTATTTAACCAGGTGAACCAACTAAGTTTGATTGAAGAGTTTGTCTAGTAGAATCTATTAAGTAGTTTATGCATTTTGGCCTTTTGAAAAATTTTGGGTAGCTTAATCATTCTAGCAATTTTAACCAGTGAAAAGAGATTTGGATGGTTCGACTAACTGCTTAAATAGTAAATAAATAAATAATTGCATTTTGTCCGGTTTCAAACAGTCAAACTATGGAAAACAGTATAGCTGCAAAATTTACACAATAGGTTAGACTGATTCAAATAGTCACTCAAGCTTAAATTGTTCAAGTAGACAAAGTGCATAGTTATGCATTTTCTCCCCTTGAACAATACAAGCTAGTTTGCGCATGTGAACTAGTTCAACCAGTTAGGATAGATTGTGCAATTTGCGTAGGTTAGCTCTTTTTTAAAGTTTTACTACGTGATGAAATAGTTAAACCAGCAAAGATAGCTAAGTACACAGTACTTATTCGAGTGGACAAAATTCAGAGCTAGCTGAAATGGTTAAACTAGACAAAACACATAAGTAGCTTAAACGGCTCAACCGGCTTAATTTCAATTGAACTGTGTGTAGTATACTAGGACAGCGGTTGTTTATGTAAAAGTATACATCCGGGAAAGTGTGAGCGCGGGAAGATTATTAAAGAAACGTGTACTGTGTGTACTGTTGTTGTTCGCCTTCGTGGCTGCCTTTTGTGGCATACTTCTTCATTTTTAGACACTACAAATTGGCGACGAGGATGGCGAATTCAGTAGAAAGGGCGCTTCCACCTCTAGATTTAACAGGGTCTTCCTCTCAGGTCGCGGAACGATGGCGACAGTGGAAACGATCGTATCAGTATTACATCGATGGCAAGGGAATTACGAATCCTTCTCGGAAAACAGCTCAGTTACTTCATTTAGCAGGTATGGAAGTACAAGATATTTACGAAGATATTCCAGATCCTGGACCACTGAATGCTAACGAGGATAATGAGTATGTGGTGTGTCTGCGAAAGTTGGATGCTCATTTCCGAGCCGAGGACAATGTACCGTACGAGCGTCATGTCTTTCGTCAACTTACGCCGACAAAGGGAGAGACCGCCGATAAGTTCATGGTTCGTTTACGTAAACAAGCTCGTCATTGTAATTTTGGTCCAACTTTGGAAGAAAATTTACGGGATCAATTGATTGAAAAGTTGCCTAATGTTGAGCTAAAGAAGAAGCTATTGGAAGTCGTTAATATTACTCTGCAAGCAGCAATGGATAAAGTTCGAAAGTGGAAAGCCTCACACGAGCAGGCAGGTCAAATGGTCATGCCAAGCCAAGAACCTGGAGCAGGTACTCATGCAGTTGAAGAACGTCCTGGGCGTGGAGACAAAGGGAAAAGCGTTTGTTTCAACTGTGGTAAAGAAGGTCATTTTGCCCAAAGTACAAATTGTCCCGCCCGAGGTCGCAAGTGCAGCAAGTGTGGTAAATATGGTCATTATGCCAGCTGTTGCAAAGGGGGAAGGAACTCGAAGCCTGGAAAACAAGGTAACAACCAACAACGGGGAGGCAGACAGCAGCGTCATGGTAAGGGGAGACAGGCAAATCATGTTGAGGGTCATTGTAACGAGTCAGGTGAGGATGACAGTTTTGCTTTTACTATAGAAGAACAGACATGTGCTATGTCAAATTCCTCTGAACCCGTTATCTCAGTGAAGATTGGTGGAATCAGCAGAGATGTGTTGATTGATTCAGGTTCTGCAAGTAACCTCATTAGTAAAGATACACTGCAGGAACTTAAGTATCAGGGGCTCAAGATTGAATTAAAACCTTGTCTGAAGAGATTGTATGCTTATGGGGGTCGAGAGCTTAAAATTGAGGGCCAGTTTCAGACAGAAGTTTCCGTACCCAAAGCAAAGGTTGTGGCACATTTCATTGTTGTTGAATCCGGGCGTTGTTTGCTGGGATATTCGTCCGCCACAGATCTTGGAATCCTTCGTGTGGATCTCTCGGGAACTCTTGGGACAGGAGACTGTAACACTGTTGATGGTACCTTCGTGGGAGGACTCAAAGCAAAATACCCCAGTGTATTCCAGGGAATTGGAAAGCTTAAAGATTATCAGTTGAAGCTACACATTGACCCCAGTGTAACTCCAGTCGTTCAAAAAATGCGACGAGTACCTTTTTCTGTAAAGGACAAAGTAACTGCCAAGGTTAACGAACTCCTTGAAAAGGACATAATTGAGAAAGTCGAGGGGCCTACGGTGTGGGTAAGCCCAGTCGTTGTTGCTCCTAAACCGTCCGGGGACATAAGGTTGTGTCGACATGCGGAGAGCCAACGAGGCCATTATTCGGGAAAGACTGCCCATACCAACCATAGATGAAGTCCTTGAAAGTCTTAATGGGAGTGGTGTTTTCTCGAAGTTAGATTTAAGGTGGGGTTTTCACCAAATTGAGCTGGATCCTGATTCAAGGGATATCACTGCTTTTGCCACCCATGATGGTATATTCCGCTACAAACGTTTGAGTTTCGGTGTAAATGCCGCACCAGAGAAGTACCAGCATATCATCACCCAGTCAATGGCAGGTCTACAAGGGGTGTCAAACATAGCAGATGATCTTATCGTTCATGGTCGAGACACTGAAGAACATGATAAGAACTTACACAGTGTGTTGCAACGTCTTAGTGAGAAGCAGCTGACTTTGAATGCTGAAAAATGCACTTTCCGAATGACTAAAGTGGTATTCATGGGTCTCTTGCTGAGTAAGCATGGCTTAGGCCCAACGGAGGAAAAAGTCAGAGCAGTTGCAGAGGCAAGTCAGCCTCAGACACCCTCAGAAGTCCGTAGCTTCTTGGGGCTCGTTGGATTCAGTGCCAGGTTTATACCCGATTTTGCTACCACTGCTGATCCCCTCAGAAAACTTGCAAGAAAAGGGGAACCGTTCGTTTGGGGCAAGGAGCAGGAGCAGTCGTTTCAGAGATTGAAGAGTCAAGTTGCAAGTGCACCAGTCCTAGCTTACTTCGATAAGGACACACCCACCCGTGTTATTGCTGATGCAAGTCCTGTTGGACTTGGCGCCGTGCTGGTGCAAGAAAAGAATGGGGAAAGCCGTGCCATCTGTTATGCTAGTCGTAGTTTGAGTCAAGTGGAGCGTCGTTATAGTCAGACAGAAAAGGAAGCACTAGCCTTAGTCTGGGCTTGTGAACGCTTCCACCTCTACTTGTACGGGCTTCCACAGTTTGATCTGGTGACAGACCATGAAGCACTTAAAGTCATCTATTCCAGGAAGTCTAAACCTTCAGCCAGAATAGAGCGCTGGGTTCTGCGTTTACAACCGTACAACTATCAAGTTTGCTATGTGCCTTCAAGAAAAAACATCGCAGATGCCCTTTCCCGACTGACGAAGATACCGGCGTCAGACAATTCCGCGGAAGATGATGGATATGTACGCGCGATAGCTCTACATGCTGTCCCCGCTGCATTGAGAATCAAAGAGATTGAACAAGTCTCAGCACAAGACTCTGAGTTGCAAGCACTCAGAAATTGTCTCATCGAAGGGAAATAAGACAATGCCCCAAAGCAGTATTTGCCAGTGCGCAATGAGTTGACTTTTATTGGCCATGTAATTCTCCGGGGGACAAGAATTGTTATACCCCAAGCACTTCGCAAGAGAGTCGTTAGTTTGGCACACGAGGGGCACCAAGGAGTCACAAAGACAAAGGAGAGACTTAGAACAAAAGTCTGGTGGCCTTCTATAGATCGTGATGCCGAGAAAAGATGTGCAGAGTGTTACGGGTGCCAGATGGTTACAAAGAACGTTCCACCCCCACCATTGAAGTCAACACCGTTACCCAACAAACCATGGGAAGAAGTAGCTGTGGATCTAATGGGTCCGTTACCTTCTGGAGAACACTTGTTAGTTCTCGTTGATTATTACAGCCGGTGGATAGAAGTTGATGTTATCCGAACAACTTCCAGCAAAACCATCATTCATTGCTTGGATGCCCAATTTGCAAGACATGGGTTGCCTAAAGGTCTGCGTACCGACAATGGCTCAAATCTTGTATCCAAAGAAGTAGAAGATTACCTGAATGAAATGGGGATTGAACACCGTTACACAACACCTCTATGGCCAAGAGCTAATGGCGAGGTAGAGAGGCAAAACAGGTCGCTTCTTAAGTCCATGAGAGCAGCCCATGCAGAAGGACAGAATTGGAGAGAGGAGCTAAACAGGTTTCTTTTGGCGTACAGGTCCACGCCACATTCAACCACAGGAAAGAGTCCCGCCGAGTTATTGTTTAGGAGAAAGCTAACAACTAAAATGCCTGAGCTAGTCAACGTTGAAGAGGAGGAGCTAGAAGTGAGCGACCAAGCCGTTCGTGATCGGGACAATCAGAGAAAGCAGTTTAACAAGGACTATGTGGACAAGAAGTTCCATGCCAGAGATCGAAATGTGAAAGAAGGAGACAGTGTTCTGCTTGAGAAGAAGAAAGAAAATAAGCTGTCACCTTGCTATGAGAAGGAACCATATCAGGTGATATCTCGTTATGGGGACCAGGTGGTGTTGCGATCGCCTCAAGGTGTCCAGTACAAACGCAGCCTTCAGCATATTAAGTCCTTTAATATGCCAGATCCAGAAGAACAGGAAACGCCACAACAGGACGCTAAACCACGGACTGAACCTAAGTCATTTGAGACGCCACCTGTGGCAGAGGATCAAGTACCAATGGCTGAATCACCACCAGAAGATGTACCTTCTACTGTACCTACAGCTGAGCCGCATGTGAGAAGATCCGGCAGAATTACGAGCCGTCCAAAGGCTCTGAGTGACTACGTTCTGTACTAAAACTAGTGACATTGGCATTTTCATATTACTGTTCGTTGTTATTACATGAGTGACATTGAAACGTTGTTTTATAAGCTGAACGGCCAAGGCTATGTTTATGTTTAGCGTGATTTTTGTCTTGAACATTTGGAATCGAATTGAACTTTTACGGTATCTAAACAAAGTGGAAGTTTGTTATGTTTCTGTCTTTCGAGGTCAACCATCTGAGCGAAGAAAGAGAGGGAATGTAGTATACTAGGACAGCGGTTGTTTATGTAAAAGTATACATCCGGGAAAGTGTGAGCGCGGGAAGATTATTAAAGAAACGTGTACTGTGTGTACTGTTGTTGTTCGCCTTCGTGGCTGCCTTTTGTGGCATACTTCTTCATTTTTAGACACTACACTGTGCAAATTGTACAATCTATATTGTTGGTGGAAGTAGTTCACATGGTCAAACTATCTTTAACTGGAGAAAATGCATAAATAGCTCGATAGCATCAACTGTACAAACTGTACAATCTAGCTTCAATGGTTCAACTGTCAAGTAGCTATGATGGTCAAACTTAGCTTTGAGTTAAGGTTTTATCAGACAAAAAGCATAACCAGCTTAAACAGCTTTAGTGGCTAAATAGTCAAACTAGCATGGAGACAGTTAAACTGAAAAAAATTGCAAACGGCAGAAACAGTCAAATGACACAAAATGCAGAAAGTAACTGAGTTGGTTCAATCGGCTCACATAGACAAAATTCACCAACAAGCTAAATTGGTTCAAATGGTTTAAGTGACCAAATAGGCAAAAACAGTGAAAGGAAAAAAAACTGGACAAACTAGCTGAATTGATTTGTTTGCTACTGAATTACGCTCTTTTTAGCTGTGAAAACATGTATAAGGTTTTTGTCTATTCTTGCCAAATTACGCTTTTGTCAGCGTTATCGCACAAAAAAGGTTTTTCCCTGGTTTGCTCTGAATCAAGCAGTTTTTAGCTCTATCTCAACAAGAGCTTGGAGCCTCATCTCGTGGAACACAGCGTCTTTGCCTTTTTGTAGCCAAAGTTTCGTGATTCTAGCTATATCTATCTCACTCACTTTATCTCACTCGCGTTTTGAGTGAGATAAAGTTGAAGTTAGCTTGATTAGCTGCAAACGGGCAGATAAGCTTTTCCCAGTGTAAAAAAGCTCAAAACAGCGTAGTTTAGCCACAAAAAAGCAAAACCGTTGTTAACATTGAGATAAATGTAAAAACAGCGTAATTGGCTGGCAAGATACCACAACCTCTTTTCAGTGCACTAAGCTAAAACAGCGTAGCTCAAGAGCAAAGAAGCAAAAATACACGTTTTCAGTTCTATAAAGCTAAAAACCGCTTGATTTAGCTGCGAAAAAGGAAAAACCGTTGTTTGGCTAACATTAGGGTGATTAGCTGAAAACAGGCAGAAAACTTTTTTTGGCTGTGATAAAGCTAAAAAGAACTCAATTCAGCGGCAAACAAGTGGAAAAATGTTTTTGGTGAGATAAATGTGAAAAAGACGTAATTTAGTCGCATGGGAGCTTAAGACTCAGTCTTTAGTAGGATCGAACTGTAAACAGCCAGAAGGGAAGATCGCGTGACGCATGCAGGGAACCGCGGGGAACACACGATCGTGACACCCACGCGTGTGTGTTACGTGGATGGTTTCGACCCTGTAACCCAGAACGTGTACGAATTTCTCGGCTGTGTATGGCATGGCTGTCCTTACTGCCATCTTAACCACACATTAGTTCCTAAAGGGCAGCTAGACCATTCCATGGAAGAACTGTATGACGTGACCTGTGCCAAAACCACTTTGTTACACTCGATGGGTTTCACCGAGGTGAAAATGTGGGAAACACGACCTGCGATTGATACAGTTTGATACAGTTTCTTCACACCTTTGAAATTGTAGAACCCCTAGATCTGCGTCATACATTTTACGGTGGAAGGACCGGCACTACATGTTTGTACCACAAGACCAATGAAGCCCAAGGAGAAAAAGTACATTACATCGATGTCACTTCTGAACATCCGTGGGTGAACAAATACAGAACTTATCTCGTGGGACATCCACAGATTTTAACAAGTCCTCAGACTACTGATCTATCAGATTATTATGGCATCACCAGAGTGGATATCGTACCACCAGAAGAATTGTTCAATCCTGTCTTATCCTATCGAGGTGGAGGAAAATTGACTTTTCGATTATGCTGTACCTGTGTGGAACAACAACAACAAGCAAAACCGATGCGTGACCGCTGATGGACCTGTAATCACACCCATCAAGAACGCCTCATCCACAGTAAGTGGTGTACACCTGAAATCAGTAGAACCATGTAAAAAGGGTACCGAATTGTGAAAATTCATGAAATCTGGCATTTTCCCAAAGAGCAGCGTGTCGAAGGATTGTTTGCCGGGTATATGGATACATGGCTGAAAATGAAACAAGAATCAAGCAGGCGGCCATCTCATGTAAGCACCCAAGAAGAATTGCAGAATTACATTAACCACTATGAAGTGCATGGAGGTGTCCAAATGGAACCAGGAAAAA